CGCCGGGCCGCGGGAGGTGAGTTCCGTCCGGGAGCGGGGACTCCCGAGGGGAGGGACGGGGGCGCTGCGTGTGGGACGGCTGGGTGCCGCGGTCGGGGGGCGACTTGCTTTGTTCGCCGCGGGCGGAGCGGGGTGGTCCGCGGGGGGCGGGGGCTTGCGGGGCCGCGGGGGAGCTGCCGGGACCAGAGACTCGGGCGGGAGCAGCTCGGCCAGCAGGAGGCTCGGCGGCTCCTTGCTGGAGCGCTTGAACACGGGAGTGAGGCCTGAGAGCCCGGCCCCTGATAGCTTTAGGATAACAAGTGTCCCGGACACGGCGACTTCCGTGTCCCGAGTGCGAGTGACACCTCGCACCCGAGAAGCCCCAGTCCCCAGGGACTTAGAGCCGAGGCAGATTGCAGTCCCCGCTCGCGCGCTTGGCACCAAAGCCAGGCGGTTGATGGCAACTGCGTTGAGCCCATTGAAAGTCGTGGGCTTCGGGGCACCCACCGGTCGATTTCCCATAGAAACTGATCGTGGCTGCAAAAAAAAAAAAAAAGAAAGTTAAAACAATGGTAAGCAGTGTTAAGAAAAACCTTTCTTAAAATCTGAGGCGTGTCTTCCCGTGAAAGGTGGAAATAGCTTTAATTTCCTTGTGTGTTCATGGTACCCAGTGAGATCGTTGTCACTAGGATCGTTTGAACTCTGCTGAAGAACACGAGTAAGGATGGAAATTGGGTTGGCCTTAATGCATAATTTAGCCCCAGCGCGGGATGAGACGAAGTCGGCTCTTGGCTTTCCGGGTCGCGGGGCCGGTGTTGAGCGCCTGGTGCTGGGTGCTGGGAGCGAACATGACCAGCTAGCTGGGTTTTCAAGCTGCCACTCTGGAAGGGCGTGCGGACGATTTCCAGCTGATAGCAGCTAGCGTGGTGACTTCGGATACAGGCCCCTTTTGCCTGGGGTCTCACTGTTCCAGAGCGGCCCTGGTTGATTGTCTGGATGTGAACAGGCAACGTTAAGAAGGGAGGATCACTGTAGTTGGCCTGGGTAGGGATGAGGGGAGGAGGGTTCAGGGATGCGGGGCAGTCTGGTCCCTATCCTCTTTACACCTCTGTGGTGGATGCTCCGGCAAGCTGTTTCTCAGGCTGTCATTTACAGGGTGAGGAGTGGAGCAGTTACAAAGTCACAAGCTGTGTGACACTGTTGCAGCGGCAGCCCTACCAGACCCTGTCTGGTAAGATAAGCAGTTTCCTTGTATTTTCTTCTGTTATGAAGTCAGACATTCAGTGTCACAACTGTGGTTTAATATAAATCTGAGACACGAGGTAGTTTTCCAAATGGCTTTTTCTTAAGCATAAAATATTTCTGAGATTTTGTAATGAATTATCTGGAATTTTTCTGTTTTATTTTAGTAACAGAAATGGGGTCTCACCTTGTTGCCCAGGCTGATCTCAAATGCCTAGCCTCAAATGATCCTGCCATTTTAGCCTCCCAGAGTGCTGGGATTACAGATGCGAGCCACTGCACCTGGCCTCTGGAATTTTAAAATTGAAAACCTGGCAGATTTAGGCTATTCTAAATCTATTATAATAGACATGTTTTATTTTACAGTAATAACAGCTAGTACTGTTGCTACAGTACTGTACTTTATTAGTACTTTTGTTTCAGATCAGAGCCAGGCACGGGGTTAGGTGCTTTGTAAAACATGTCTGCAGTCATCACAACTGATGTTAAATAAGAATCATTATGCCAACACCAACCCTGAGAGATATTTTGTTTTGTTTTATGTTGTGTTGTGTTGTGCAGAAACAGCGTCTCTCTGTGTTGTCCAGCCTGATCTCAAACTCCCGGGCTCAAGTGATCCTCCTGTCTTAGCTTCCCAAAGGGCATGAGTCACCTCGCCTGACCAGCTCCAAGAGTTTAACTCGCTTAAGATCTTATAACTAATAAGTCACTGTGCTGGGATTTAAGCCGTGGCCTGATCCCAAGGCACATGCTGTATTGCATCTGTCTGTTGATCTCTGTCATGTCTCTGAATTCCATTTGTAGGGACATAATTCTACTTCAAAGATGACTGTAGGTGCTGTGTTTTGTCATAGCTAAGCAGAAATAGTTCAGTCTTTTTAGAACTATTGTCTTGCTTCCCAGGCATGAAATCAAAAGTTTCTTGGGCATCTCTTATGTGCACAGCAGTGCCCTGGCTGTTAAGAGATGACAGGAAAATGCTTCCTATTCAGTGGGTGTTTCTGAAGTTTCTGCGGCGTTTTTCTCTTCTCTGTCCCCCATCCCACCTTGCTTGTTGCTGGTTTCTCTTGCTAGCACAGATCCAATTTTGCTATTCCTTTGTATAGAAAACCATGAGGTTCCCCACTGTGTAAATGCAAGGCTGGGTGTGTGGGTTAACCGCCCACGCAGGGCCCCTCACTGTCTGGTGCTGTCCTGCCTTCTCAGCCTTCTCTGCCACCGCCCCTAGCCCTGTGTGCTGGTGCTGGAATTTGGGGCACTCCTACCTCGGTGCTTTTTCTTGACCCGCTTCCTGTGAATGGGATGCCCTTCCTCTCTGCCTGCCAAGAACTACCCATCATCAAGGTGCAGTACAGGTGTCCTTGCTTCCAGAAAGCTTGGCCGGGTCCATGTTAGTTAGGATTCTTCTTCCAATTTTAGCTCATACCATTGCTGAATAGGGACATTTATTCTCCCACAGAATGGTAATTGATAACTTTTGGGAAGAGAAGACGCAGTCACGTTTAATATATTTTCCTATGAAGAAGTCCAGGAAACATTCTAAGGACCCTCTTTAAGCAGTTATAATCCTGTTGTATTTGGAATTTATTTCTGCTTAAAAATGTGTTTGTCATAGCGAGACCTTGTTTCGGCAAAAAATACAAGAATTAACCGGGCATGGTGGTGCGCGCCTAATAGTCCCAGCTACTTGGGAGACTGAGGTGGAAAGATCACTTAAGCTTGGGAGGTCGCTGTGAGCCGTGATCATGCCCCTGCTCTCCAACCTGGGCAACAGAGTGAGGCCAACATTAGTAGTAATAACTGTGCTTACCAAAGAAGCGTATATTTAGTTTAGATGATCTGGCCTGGAAGCAAGAAAAGTAAGTTATATTTATTGTCTGATGAGTGTCTCCAGTTTTTATAAATCTTTGAATGAAAGAAACAGACCAAGTGACTGGCATTCCAGTGGCAGTCAGGAGCAGATGGTTGAGGTCTGTTGAGAGAAGCTGGCATGTCGCTGTCTGCCCCGTTCCCCTCATCACTTTGTCTGCAAACTCTCCTGCCAGTGGCGTGGAGTAGGCCAGAACTTCTTTGCTGAAGGACTGGCCTGTCCTGCCTCCTCTGCCTGCACACCTGGGGCAGCGTCTAGAAGTCCACTCCCTGGCTGCTTAAGGGAGTCTGCCTGTTTTGACCTTCTAATCAGATATTAAAAGCAAGGCAGTAAGAGTTATGTGGTAGTTGATCTTTCTAGGTGTTTTTGTCAGTCTCTGGGATACGGAAAAAGCAGTTGCTGTCTCTCTGTTTCTTTATGATCAGAAGTAAAGAAAATACACACCAAACGATGCTGACTTAATAGCTTTGTTTGTTTGTTTTTTGAGTCGGAGTCTCACTCTGTCTCCTAAGCTGGAGCGCAGTGGCACACTCATGGCCTCGACCTGCTGGGCTCAGATGATCCTTCTGCCTCAGCCTCCAAGTAGCAGGAACCTTAGGCACATACCACACCTGGCTGATTTTTTGATTTATTGTAGAGGCGAGGTCTTGCCAAGTTGCCCGGGCTGGTCCTGAAACCCTGGGCTCAGGTAGTCCTCTTACCTTGACCTCCCAAAGTGCTGGGGTTATAGGCGTGAGTCACTGTGCTTTGTTAATAGAGAGGTTTTGGGAGATCTTATCAGGAGACAGATTCGTTCCTTGCAGATTGTTCCCTTGCAAGTCTTCATGGAGGCTGGTGGCTCAGTTGAAATTCTCAACATCCTTTTAAACCTGTCATTTCCATTCCAGTTCATAGTCTTGTCATTAAATTTTCTTACCTTAATGAATACATTTGAGATTTAGTATTTGTTGCAAGCTTTGCTAGCCTTATGGTACATGCACACATACTGTGTATATGCAATGTCAAGTGTGAAGCGGGCTTGTGGATCCGTGTAGCATGGAGCGTGAGTGAACACATCATGACTCAGTTGGTCAGAGAGTTCTCGCAGCATGAATCATGAATGAAGAGCTATATGCTTGTTCAGTGAATAATCTTAAGATACGAAATGCTACTTAACTGTTATGAATATTGTGTTGTAAGAAGGACTTTCTTGGGTATTCTTCTTTTGAGAATAGTGAGACCATATTATAAATTCTCCTTAGTAAAATAGTGACTAGCATTCTCTCTGCCTTCCTGCTTGTTTTAGTGATTTAAAAAACGGTCCTCAATGCAGTTTTCATGAAGTATTTTGCAACTTTACTTCTTTTTATTCATTTATTTCTTTGTTGATTTGTTAAGCATGTAAATGACTACATGTTTACATTTTAATAGGTATGAAATTAGCATGTTAAAACAATTGGTAAAATTTAGAATTTCATTATGAGCTCACGCTTGAGAAAAATCTTTCATTAAATATACAGTCATCCCTCAGTCTCTGTGGCGCGTTGGCCCCAGGACTCCTTGAGGACATCCATGTCCACAAGTGTTCAAGTCCCTTCTGCAACAGGGTGTCGCGTAACCTGTGCACATCCTGTGTGCCTCCAGTCATCTCCAGGTTACTTCAAGCCCTCATGCTGTGAAAATGCTGTGGAAACAGTTGTTCCACCCTATCTTTAGAGAATATGACAAGGAAAAAAGTCTGTATGTGTTCAGTAAAGACAAAGCCATGCTTTTTTTCCCCAAATATTTTCAGTCCACAGTTAGTTGAATCTACTGTGGGGAGCCAGGGGCATGGAGGCCTCTTATAATTTAATTTAATTCGCAGTTAAATTAATTCTAATCCCTCTCCTTTCCCATTTTACAAATAACCTGGACCTCATAGTGGATCACGGGAAGCCATTTGGTTGCCTGTTTGGTGGTTGTGTAATCTGAATGCACTTTGGAGCTATTGCTATGAATCTCGACTCTAATTCCCTTTAGCAGTGTCTTTTATTAAGGAAAGAAGCAGCACAGTGGAATTCTAAATAAAAGGAAAAGGGAGGATTCGATGTACGAATAGCTGCTTCCTGTCAGGGCACTGTGGCTCAAGCCTATAATCTCAGCACTTGGGAGGCCGAGGTGAGAGGATTGCCTGAGTCCAGGGGTTCGAGACCAGCCTGGGCAACTTGGTAGACCTTGTCTGTATGATAAATTAAAAAAAAAATTAACCAGGCACCTGTAGCTCTGGCTACTTGGAAGGCTGAGGTGGAAGGATCACCAGAGCCCAGCAGGTCGATGCTGGAGTGGTCGTGAGTGTGCCACTGCACTCCAGCCTGGGTGACAGAGTGAGACTCCAACTGAAAAAAAAAAATAAAAGAAACTGCTTCTCAGCCAGCAGTAGTAGCACCTGTCTATAGTCCCAGCTACTTGGGAGGCTGCAGAGGGAAGACCAGGAGTTCAAGGCTGCAGTGTGCTATGATTGCAGTGTGAATAGCCACTCTACTCTAGCGTGGGCAATATAGTGAGATCCCATCTCTAAAACAAAACAAAACAAAACAACAACAACAAAAGATACTGCTTTCTTTCTTGGCCAAGGGAAGGGATAGAGAAATACTATTTTGTGTTTCTTACATGCCAAACTGGTTACTAATATGAAAACCTTGTTTCCTCTGGGAGACTTTGTCAATATCCCCAAGCCTAATTCTCTCTACCTTCCTCTCTCATTTTACTAACCTCTAACTGTACTAAGCTAACAAAGTAGCGGGTGACCTCAGTAATTTAGAGGCGGGTTTACGTTATGGCTGAGATACTTATAAGGCTGTTATGTGGGAGAGGACCCGGGTTGTGTTGCACGTGGTAGCTGAGGGAGAGGCAGGGCGAATGGGTAGGGGTGGAGATTGCCCCACATGCGGGATGGCTTTCTCAGGACTGCTCAGGGGCAGGGCTCACAGATTAGGGCCTTTCTGGGAAGGCTGTTGTGTTGGACCAGCTGCCCGAGGGTTGTTTATAACATGGAGATTCCAGGACTTTATGATTGTGTAGCTATTAATTTATCAATAGGTGTGTGTGTGTATGTACATATACACATACATACACACATATATATGTCTTCACTTAACCTTTTTTTCTTCTTCTTTTCTTTCTTTTATTTTTTTTTAAGTTGGAGTCTCACTCTGTCTCCTAGGCTGGAGTGCAGTGGCACAATCATGGCTCACTACAGTCTCAAACTCCTGGGCTCAAGTGATCCTCCTGCATCAGTTTCCTGAGTAGCTGGTACTGCAGGCGCATGCCACGACACCAGGCTAATTTTTCTATTTTTTGTAGAGACAGGGTCTTGCTATTTTACCCAAGCTGATCTTGACCTCCTGATCTCAAACAATCTTCTGCCTCAGCCTCCAAAATGCTGGGACGACAGGTGTGGGCCACCGTGTCAGCCCCTTGTTTGTCTCTCTTGCTGTTGTCTCATGGGTTTTAGTTTACACTGAATGTGTTGTCGTTTCTGTGGGTCATGTCTGGGCATGGATTCACTTTCATCTATTCCACTTAAGCTTCATGTGCCTCTTCCATCAACTAATTCGTGTATGTAATTCTGGAAAAGGTCTCCGTCTTTCTCACGGAAGATCCTGCCTTTCTTCTCTCTCCTTTTCCTTCTGGCGCTGAAGTTAGATCATTCCAAAGCTTCTTCTATGTCCTTCTTCTCTCTGAACTGCTCTTTGTATTCCTCATCAATCTGTTTCTCATTTGCTCTTTAACAGTATCTGTGCTGCTGCCCAACTAGTATATTGCATTGTTTGTGCCCATTCCTAGGAGTACTGTTTTATTTTATTTTATTATTACTATTTTGAGTTGGAGTCTCACTCTGTCGTCCAGGCTGGAGTGCAGTGGCATGCTCACGGCCATCCCAGTATCAACCTCCTGGGCTCTGGTGATCCTTCTGCCTCAGCCTTCCAAGCAGCTGGAACTATAGGTGCGTGCTACCATGCCAGCTAATTTTTGATTTAATATAGAGACGAGGTCTCACCAAGTTGCCTGGGCTGGTTTCGAACCTGCAGGCTCAGACAATCCACTTGCCTCGGCCTCCCAAAGTGCTGGGATCACAGGCTGAGCCACCGAGCCCGGCCATTGTTTTTTAGAGACAGGGTCTTGCTCTGTCACCCAGGCAGGAGTGCAGTGGAGCAATCAGCTCACATAATAGTACTTCAAATAATAGCAATAAAAAAACTGCAGTCTGAATGCCTGTCAACAGCAGGTTGAAAAATACACATGCCCTGTCGTGGATAGGAGGCATGATAGCAATATGCAGATTGCAGCTCTGCAAGCGACAGTTGAGATGCTCCTTGGAAACATGATGTTGGACAGGACCATGCCAAACACACGACCTATTACTTAGGACTCTGCAGATGGTGGTTGAGTTGTAAAGACCACCAAGGGTCATGAACCAAATTCAGCCGAGAGATAACCTTGAAGGGGAAAGGAGTCAGATGGCCAGGCTGGGTCCCCGGAAGAGGCGACAGGCAGTGGGGTGTGCTTTATCTTAAACTGGGTGGTGCCATACAGATGTTCGCTGTGTCTTTCTTTTTACTACATACATGTTTTCTAAATGTCTTTCATATCTGCGAACATTCATGTAAAACATTTTCGGCCGGGCGCGGTGGCTCACACCTGTAATCCCAGCACTTTGGGAGGCAGAAGCGAGAGGACTGCCTGAGTCCACAGGTTACAAGACCAGCCTGGGCAACATGGCGAGACCTTGTCTCTACAATAAATCAAAAAATTAGCTGGGTGTGGTGGCTCATGTCTGTAGTTCTGGCTACTTCGAAGGCTGAGGCAGAAGGATCGCCTGAGCCCAGCAGGTCAAGACTGCAGTGGCTGTGAGCATGCTACAGCACTACAGCCTGGGTAACAGAGTGAGATGCTGACTCAAAAACAAAAAACAACAACAACGACAAAAAACATTTTAAAGACCTTAAAGAGTTGGTGTAGAATATACTTCAAAAGCAAATGAATACAAATATAACCTAACTGTCAGTGTGATACCTTCTTTGCAGAAATACATTTACAGAGTTTCGAATTGACTGTTCAAATCATTACTGAATTTTCACTTGGTTTGTTAATGGCAGTTTTTAAAAGTTTGAAGTATCAATTTTGCTTTTAGATACTAATATGATGCATACCATTCTATTATTGTTTATAGTAGAAAATACTACGCTCGATTCTTGTATTTCAAACCAGTTTTAAAAATTGAACAAGATGCAGTTCTCAACTCTCGTGCTTTCACATCCTGCATTAGAAGCTCCGTGACGGCTAAGTCTCTGCATCTCCTGTAGCGATTGACATGACCGTGTCCGGAGTTAGCCGGTGATTATGTGTGGCGCAGGGTTACTGCAGGTTATCCTTTGAAACGGGACTTCAAGCCAAGCATCTTATATTCCTTTTGCAGAAACGTTGCTGAACTGCTGCTGAAAGGGCCGAGATGCCAGGATTTGGGACACATTTTGAACCTCTAAGCTGTCTGACATTGACCTCCTTTCATTATTAATAAAGAAGAGCAGGCGCTTAGGGTGTATTAACAGCAACTCATTAATGTACTAACTGGACAATGTTCTGCAAACAGTGCTCCACTGTAAAGGACTGGATGGGCACAGAATAAAACCATTTCATATTCTACTCAGCTTATCATAGGACTCAATGGAGGACAATTTGATAAGCATGAGGGAAGACCATTCTTTTCATGTTCGCTACAGGTAAGACTATTGCTTTCTCAGGGGGTGACTTTGAATATTTATTTTTAAATGTATTTAACTACAACCATTTCAGATGCCAATAGAAGGTATTCAAAATACAGAATACCAGCCACGGTTAGTAGGTCCTGGAGACAGTGTTTGCTTTCAGTGGTTGTAAGTTTTGGTGTCCTTTCTGTACGAAAATGGGAAAACAGACCAATGATATACTACGGTTTGTTTATTAATGTTCTCTGGAAGAGTTTGTGAATAATTATGTTATACTTTATAACCTTTTATGTAATGCAGATATAGAAATGAAATATATTTGAAAATCTTTGGGGCTACAAAATGGATTTTTAAAAGTGTGGTCATCTGAAGGACCTAACTTTTGCATTATGATTTATAAATGATGATCTTTTATAAATGACCTTTTTATTTTTTCAAGTATATTGTTTTGATTCCTTTCTCATTTCCTTTTCTGTATATTTTTTGTTTTATTTTTAAAATTATATTTTATTAGAGATGAGTTCTCACTGTGTTGCCCAGGCTGGTCTTGAACTCCTGTGCTCAAGTATTCCTCCCTTCTCAGTCTTCCAAGTAGTTGAGATGACAGGCTGGGCCACTACTCTCGGTTTTTTCTTTTTCTTATTTTTAAAGAAAATTTTAATTCACAACCGGTATAACTATTTTAAATATGCACATAATCCATATTAATATAAATACAGGATTCATAAAATACAAACGGGCTCTGATCAAAAGAAATTCATTTTCAAGTTTAGCGTTGCTTGACATTTTATGTTGTTTTGCTGATTTAAAAAACCAGGCCACATCTTTACATGAAATGGTAGGTTGGGGATCCCTAGTGCGCTCTTGAAAGCAGGTAGGGCAAGGAAGGGCACATGCACTGGCTCAAGGCTCCTGCAGGGCTTAGAGCCCAGCCTCGGTCGCCAGATGGATGTCGCATTCCAGCTGGAAGGTGCAAGTTGAGGGACAGGTGTCCCCGCCGTTGCTCTGTACCCGCAAGTGTCTTTCAGGGGTACTGCACACTCCTTTGGCAGTACCTTATATACGACCTTGTGCACGTATGTGGGGGCTTCCCCACTGATCCAGATCAGGATCCGAGTCAGACACCCACAGCTGGAAAGGGGTGAACTGGTCAGGAGGGACAGCCTCAGTCCAGCTCAAGGCCACTGTGCTAGGCAGAACAAAGGCAAGGGGCGACCAGGGCTCCCTGAAATCTAGAAATCCGATCCAGGAACTCTGGCTCTTTGATGTGGCTCTCTGGCTCTCTGAATTCTGAAATGTTGGCAGCTAATGCCAATTTTTTTAAAAAAGTGGGTTGAACATTCCAAGTAGAAGAAAAACAGAGGCATGTCAGGGAGACACAACTCTCCAAAAAGCCATTGAGGTGGTGGTGGGGGAGGGACACCCCAGGCTTTCGAGAAAGCTCCTCTCCAGACATAATTTCTCTTACTGTGGGATGCCTGGAGTCAAACCCTCCTGCACCTTGGGGCCCAGAGGACCAAGTGCAAAGTCCCCATCCTGGACCCCGCCCACCTCATTGCCCTCTGCACCCTGACATTGCACTCTCATTCCTGGACCCCACAGGTTCCTCTTCCCCCCAGACTTTGTACTCTTTCCCTACGATGGCCCAGAATGCCATTATCTGTCCTCCCCTCCTGGTGCTGCCTGTTGTAAGCCGGTCTCCCATCCCACTCTCCTGGAGGGTCACCACAGACCCTCCTGTCACACCTTCTCGATGGGCTGCTGAGCGTCACCCACAGACATCAAGCACCCAGTGACTGTCCCCAAAAACACACAGTCCACCCCCATTCATATGCAGACTTCAGCCACCATAAATGAGCTTTTTAAAAGAAATGGGTCTGAAACAAAGTTGAAATAGGTGGGCACTTTCCAAACATGATAAATTAGCAGCCAGTTTAGTGATAAACTATGAATGACATTTCGGAGACAGTTAGGAACAAAGCAAGCATATTCACACTACAGTGATTACATAACATTTATTCTAGAAGTTCTGGTCATTGCACTAAACCATAAAACAAACAAACCTAAATATTGTAATCATTCAGTAAGGTGACTAGAGAATCGATTCTTGTCAAAACTGTTACACGTTAATTAGATGACCATTCAAATTTTATAACAATGAATAGGATTCAGAATCTCTCAATGAGGGTATTTTCTACCATTTTTTAGCTGTCTTAACATTTAGGAAACAGGAGATTTATGGAGTAAATGTGGAGTGAATGGCTCATGTTAGGAAGGTTCCTGCCAATTAAGGTGAGATAGGTAAGATGAGGACATTTCTATTATAAATAAAAGTTTCAAATAAAAGAAAATGGAAGCCACTCAGCATAGTTAGGATGAGCTTTTACTACCAAGGGTGCCAAAAAAATGTATACACATTTTAAGAAAGGAAAAAACTGTATTACAATTGTAATACTCAGTAGGATGAGTACAAGCCACACACTTCTGCAATTGCAAGGGATGCACAAAGTGGTTACCGTTGACATCCAGACACTTCTGATGACAGTGAACTAAAAGTAATACAGAAATAAAGTCTCTGAAAATGTGTCTGCATTTTTTGGGCACCCCCAGTACATTTTGTTTTTTGAGTTGGAGTCTCACTCTGTCGCCCAGACTGGAGTGCAGTGGCCGCTCCCGGCCACCGCAGGCTCCACCTGCTGGGCTCCAGAGATTCTTCCGCCTCGGCCTTCCGAGTAGCCGGAATTACAGGCACGCGCTACCATGCCCGGCTAATTTTTTGATTTATTGTAGAGATGAGGTCTCGCTGCCCAGGTGGATCTCGAACCCACAGGCTCAGGCAATCCACTCACCTCAGCCTCCCAAAGGCGCGGGATTACAGGCTGAGCCACCGAGCCCGGCTACCCCCAGTACATCTAACGCCCTCGTGCTACCTTCAGACTCATGCTTCCAGAAACTCGGATGTTACCTTGGGAACTCTCCTCCCTTCTCACTCTACGCCCAGTGTGAGGTATGGCCAGTTCCATCTCCTGAGTGTTCTCTGATCCAGCCACTCACCTCATCTTCCTTGGTACAGTTCAGATCCCGAGGTCTCCCTCCACTCTCCATTCTTATCCTCTTGGAATCCATCTTTTTAATTTGCTTGATCTAAAAGCACAGAACTGACCATGCGGCCTCTCTGCCTAACACTGATGCTGGCTTGTTGTCACCAGCAGGGCAGAGCCGTGAGCTGTGGGCACTGGGTCATCCACGATCTGGCTTCCGCCTTGTCCTTGGACCTCACCTCCTGCCATCATCCTCCGCTTTGCCCTTTGAGCTCTGGCTCCCAGTATGTGTCATGTTGCTTCATACCTCAGTGCCTTTGCTCGGCTGCACCCTGTGAATTCCCTTCCCACTCTCTTTGTTTGGCTAATTCTAGTCAATGTCGATGATTTAGCTCAGAGGTGATCTCATGGAAGCCATTTCTAAACTCCATGGTTTGGCTCCATGCCTCCCTGTGTTCAGATCAAATCCGCGACTGTCTCAGCACCACTATATTAAAATTCGACGAACCTACGTTTGTGGGTGTCTCTTCCTCCTCGCCTGTCCCCATGACCATTAGCTCCTGGGGCAACCGCAGTGCTTAGCATGTTGTCTGGCACATACTCTTGTGTCTACAGAGCGTCATTGGACATAGCCATCACATGGACCAATGGAGATGTTTCCCTGTCTTGCTGAACATTCCGAAGAATGGTGGGCCTAACACCGTAAGAATTGAGGACAAGGGGGCTTGGGTTGTCCCTCTGCCTCTAGGAAGACCTTTTTCCACAATGCAGCACAGGGCAAACGTGGTTGCATATTGCTGTAGGACTTCACCAAGGGAAGCTTAAAGTCTGTGACTGTCTTTGGTTAGACTATCCCAAACACATCCCTGGCTTTCTCGGTGCTGTCACATCGGCCTTCTGTGTATTGACTGGATTGGCATGTCATGGGGGCCATGGTTCGAACCTTTTGTGTTAGGTTACAGCTGGTATAAGCTACTCCTCTACTTTAGTGAATATTTAGCATGGCATGTTTCATCCATCTGGGTCGTTCATCATGGAGGCCCCATCCTTCCTGGAGGAGTGTCTGTGGCACAGTACATTTGTGATTTTGAAGTGGAATGTTTCTTTCGATACTAAGGCACCTCCCAAAGGACATCAGAATGCTTTAGGAAATATTTTGCACCTATTTCAGAAGGTGGAGACCGATAGCAAAATGGGGTTTGTTTCTAAGCTTTTAAAAACTTACATGAGGCCAGACTCGGTGGCTCAGCCTGTAATCCCAGTGCTTTGAGAGGCCAAGGTGAACGGATTGCCTGAACCCGCGGGTTTGAGACCCGCCTGGGCAACTTGGCAAGACCTCATCTCTACAATAAATCAAAAAATCAGCTGGGCATGGTAGCACACACCTATAGTTCCAGCTACTTGGAGAGCTGAGGCGGAAGGATCGCCAGAGCCCAGCAGGCGAGGCTGTGGTGGCCAGGAGCGGCCACTGCACTCTAGTCTGGGCGACAGAGTGAGACTCCAACTCAAAAAAAAAAAAAAAATTACATGATTGATTTTAAGGAATTGCCATTCTTTTTTTTTAGGTGTGATAATGGGAACATATATTTTTGAAAAATCATGCTTTCTGGAATGTATTTTAGAATAATCTGGGGTTGGGAGTGAGGGTGGGTGTAGAGATGAAGCATGTTGATACTGACATGTCATGTATGGGTGATTACTAAAGCTGATGGGGATACATCGGGTTCACACACTCACTTCTGTAGCTTTGTGTTTCTTTGGGAAATGTTCGTCTCCATACTTGTTACTCTAAATAATAAACACTTCAATGCTTTCAGATTGTAAAAGTTAGACTGTTGCACACAAGCTGTAAAGGAGTACAGTTTTGGTGCTGAATTCTTAGATTCTGCTAGATCAGTGTGGTTGTTAGTCATATGCTTTTCTGGAGGTGCCATGGGTTGTGGAAGGAGACTGGATTTGGAGACAGAGACAGTG